AAAACTGTAACTGCCAAGCAATAGACACTCAAGTCTGTTGTCCCTCTCTCTACAGGCAAGTTACATAGAAGTTAGGTTTTAACTGGAAGGTTCTCTGGCAACCTTGGAAGAACAAGGAAGCCAATCACGTGCTCACAATCCATCTCTACAACTTAGACTGAGGTGGTATATTCTTGGTTCTACATACTTGTCCTCTGAAATCACTGAAAAATTTTAAGAAATTATCAGTGAGAATAAAGTTCTTGTAAAACGTCCTTTTGAGAAATCATGAATTAAATGGCTTATCACAGATCTAAATTATCAGAAGCATTAGATAAGCAGCATGTTTCACAGACCATGAGTTTTAGCTGAAGTTTGTTGCTCATTTGAACCAACTGCCTAATTTTCCCTGGTGGTACTATTTAAAACTTGGTACAAAATCTTCCAATCTCAAACTTAACTCTTCCTAGTAGATGTAAGACACAGCACAAAATGAACATTTTTTTTTTCTGGAAAAAAAAAATGATTTTAAAACAAATCTACTTAAAAGAGTACTTGTATTATTTGGAATATGCCCAGTATTTTGATGTTCTCATTTGGGAACATACTTTTTAAGAAATCATTTTATTAGTTTTCTTTTTTTCACTTATCCAGGAATTACGTTCTTTTACAGAAGGCAGTATTTCCTTTTATAGGTTTATTCTCTCTCTCACTTATAACCCACACCTTGGCTGGAAGAAGATGAAAAAAAGTATTCTGCCACCCTGGACTTTTTTTCCTAAACAACTCCTGTTTTGTTTTCTATTTTCTGGCAGCCCAGAATTAACAAAAGAGGAACAAAGATAAGAGAAAACCTGCCATGAACAGCTATTTTTTTCCTAAAGAAATAAAAATACTATTAACATACCCTCCAGCTGCAGCTGCATGTAGACAAGTCCTGCCAAAATCATCTGGGGTGTCTATATCAAATCCTGCAAGAATAAGTACATCTCATTTATAACAGACTTTACACTAAATAATTTTGTAACAGACTTTAAAGAAACATGCCATGAAATGTCAAGAATCACATCCTCCCCTCCAATCCCAAACAAAACTATGGGTTCTGAAGTGCCAGAGTGCCTGTTTAAAAGGCAATATGATACAATGGAGTATTATTTAGCAATAAAAAGAAATAAAGTACTGATAGTGATACATGAATAACCCTTGAGAACATTATACCAAGTGAAATAAGCCCATCACAGAAGATCCCACGCTGGGTGATTCCATTTACATGAACTATTCAGAACAGGCACATTTATGGAGATGGAAAGTAGATTAGTGGTTGCCTAGGGCTGAGGGAGAAAAGAAATGGAGACTAACTGCTAATGGTCTTTCTTTAACAGGGGATGAAGAGGGTTTTCTTTTTCTTTTTGTGACAGTCTTGCTCTGTCACCCAGGTTGGAGTGCAGTGGCACAATCTCAGCTCAATGCAACCTCTACCTGCTGGGTTCAAGCGATTCTCCTGCCTCAGCCTCCCAAGTAGTTGGGATTATAGGTGCTCGCCACTATGCCCAGCTAATTTTTGTAGTTTTTTTTTTTTTTTTTTAGTAGAGATGAGATTTCATCACATTGGCCAGGCTGGTCTTGAACTCCTGACCTCAAGTGATCTGCCTGCCTTGGCATCCCAAAGTACTGGGATTACAGGCATGAGCCACCACTCTAGGCCTGAAGCTAACATCTTCTAAGAGAGGTTATTAAATTATCCATACTGGACCCGTCTGCATGTAATTTTTAAAAAGCAGGATAAAGAAACTGTCAAAAATTTTGAGGGGTTTGAGGAGACATACAGAAGTCTTCAAAAGTTACACTTACCTGAAGAAAGAAGTTTTCTGCAGCAATCTGAAAAGCCACTTAAGGCTGCCAAGTGGAGGGGGAACATTCCATGTATGCCGCGCCTAAAGTTAATAGGACAGGACAGTATCTTCATTTTAACACAGAAAAATACAATCAGTTACATATACTGCAAAGAGACCACTTAATTAAGTGAAATATAACTAAAAAAGTCAAAATGTTCTAACACTTTGGAGAGTAATTTGGTTAAACGTTGATGGTGGGCATAACTTACTACCCAACTATTTTTCTCCAAAAGTAGGGTTTTTCACCTTCAGGACTATTGTCATTATGGATTTTGTTGGGGGGAGGTGAGAAGCCATTCTGTGCATGCAGGCTTACAGGCTGTTGAGCAGCATCCCTGGGCTCTACCCAATGGATGTCATTAACATGAACACCTTCCTCCCCAAATTGTGACAACCAAAAATGCATCTGGATATTTGCTTAGGGAGCAAAATTCACTACGCTGTCACTCCACCATTGAAACATTTCCATAACAAAACATGTTCAAGAATATTTATTGTAGAAATTCTGTAACAGTGAAAAACTGGAAGCAACTTGTATTTGCAAATAAGGAGAATATTATGAAATCTTTATACAATAATTAAATTCTATAAAATGAACTAGAGCTACTTGTACAGATGTAAAAGAAGAACCAAATTCGTATCTACATGGCTAAACCAACAAGCTCATGTAATTTTTTTGAAAGAGTTACAACACAGATAGGTTCAGTACCATACCATTACAGAAAATAAAAAAGATTTAAAACTTGTTAATAAACACATGTAAATTAGCAGGATTCATCTTTCAAATAAAATATTACATGGGAACTTTAATATATAAAATAAATAAAGGTAAACTGTTCCGACCAAGATGGGGATGGTGGGAGCAGGAAATCCTTGGTAGGATTCCAAGGAATTCCTGAGGTTGGCACAGCACAAGCTGAAAACAAAAAAAAAAAAAAAAGCATTTGGCACATACAGCTTTCTGGGACTTTTAAGTACTTCTAGTTAAAAATAAAGAGAACACAAAAATTAACAGCTCTAATCAAAACTGCGTTACGGTAAGACACATAAAAATACACCAGCTTACCAAATAAAATCCTATTTAAACATTTTAACCTACCATTTTGTCAACACAAAAGAAAAGAAAGTTTAAGCAATTAATACAATATTGAGCATAAAATCCATATTTCCATCTGAAATATCTAGAAAACGGCAGTTCACTTCCCTTTGTGCTTGCCTGTGGCAGTTATCAACACCTCAGTTAAGTACTTACTTTGCAGTGTCAGCACCACTTGTAATAAGAGTGTTGATCAGCAGCTCATGGCCATATCGTGCTGCTATGTGCAAAGGGGTATTTCCATTCTTATCCTCACAGTCGATTACAGCTCCTGCAATACAGGACTTACTGTCAGACACCGGACCATATAAAGATCAAATCAAACCTATTACATGAAAAGTAATAAAAAAATGCTGTTCATGCACAAACTAATAAAGACAGCAACTTTTTTTTTTTTTTTTGAGACCGAGTCTCACTCTGCCGCCCAGGCTGGAGTGCAGTGGTGCGATCTCAGCTGACTGCAACCTCTGTCTCCGAGTTCAAGCAATTCTCCTAACTCAGCCTCCTGAGTAGCTGGGACTACAGGCACGCACTACCATGCCCGGCTAATTTTGTATTATTATTTCATCATATTGGCCAGGCATGGCCAATCGGCATGATCCACCCACCTTGGTCTCCCAAAGTGCTGGGACTCCAGGCGTGAGCCACCGTGCCCGGCCAGAAATAGCAATTTTAGCTAGGTTCTATTTATAGCTCATTTATCAGGCCAGGCAATGGATTTACAGATTTTATACTTAAAGTAATTGTGTGAATTAAGCATAAGATTTTAGCTGATTTTTAAACCAAGAGGGTTCTGGGATCCAATAAGTTTAGAAACTGCTGTATTAAAACAAAATGAAACACAATTCTTTAGAGCAAGACTTCAGAACTTTAATGTGCATACTCTGTGTCATCAAGACTGCATGCAATACTTTAAAAATTATTGGATCATAAACCTATTTCAACTTTTCCCCCACAAAACTATAGTACCTATTATCTTGAGGATAATTGACAAATAGTTTCTTGAAACATGCCTTGGAAAACACTGATTTAAAGTAATATACTTAAAAATTCTTTTGATTTAAAAGTTTAGCTTGCCTAATATTAAATACAAAATAATACAGGCTCAGGAAATTAAAATCCTGAAAATAGTTGCAGATTCTCAACAGGGGAAAATGATAAATGTATAATGTATATACAGAGTACACACACTAACATATAATACAAATCATGGTAGAAAGGCAATTTTCTATTTAGCAATATTAAAAAATGGTAATACTAACTGCTAAAGAAGTAACATAATTTAGGGAAACAAAACATGAAAAACAAAAGTATGAAAGATACATGTACATGATATTTTATACTCTTTAATATTTGATTTTCATGAACTCTGAAATCATATATTAAAAATACACAAACTGCCATGACAATTCCTCAATACCATTCACGTGGTGGATGTTTTTACTACATTTAAGAAAAAAAAAACAAACAGAAATACTTTTTACCACTCTGGATAATGGTTTGTGATCGGGAGAATCTACCGTGGAGGGCAGTCATATGCAGTGGGGTTTTCCCATCTTTACTCTGTGGGGAAAAAAAAAAAAAAAATTACTCACTCTACTATGTCCATAATATGTAATCCTTGGTTCTGTTACCCTCTTGCATTCTGTATTTTATAACTATTATACAAGAATTAAGCTTAACTGAGGCCTATGGAGGTAAAACAGCTGTTTAAAATTATGAATTAATTTTTTTAGCATGTATATCATAAAATGCAAATATACAAAAATTCCATGCCTACAGTTTATAACTGGGAGTGGGACAGTAAAGATGTGCCTCCCAAGTTTCAAATTCAAAATTTCACATTGCTCCCATGCTTCCATTCTAAGAAATTCTGAATCCCTTCTTGAACAAGTAAAAGTGAGTATCAGAATTAACTTTGTGAATGTTGTGTGGATACATTTAAAAAGATAACTAAAAATAATTAATTTCAGCCAGTATAATTTAAAAACTACATATATTTGTTTATAGTTATGTGTAATAAATATTTTCTCAAATCACTTAAAATAATAAATCAGACTGGCTGCACACATATATATTTCACGGAGAAGTTCTAAAGGAGTTCCAAATATGAAGAAAAACAATCCTTGAGTTAGGTTATCTTTTCTTCTGATTAGGCGTTATCTTTTCTTCCCTAAAATCTTTGGGTTAACCAAAACATACACGTTACCAACGTAAAGGAAATAAACTGTTTAGCAGCTTCCTAATCTCACAGCAATATTCAGTATGCCTTCTGTGCAGGTACTAAAATAGAAGTCACAAGTATCCTAAGTTTATGCTAACACCGTACAATGCAGATATTCTTTTTTTTTTTTTTTTTTTGAAGGAGTTTCGCTCTTATTACCCAGGCTGGAGTGCAATGGCGTGATCTCGGCTCACCGCAACCTCCGCCTCCTGGGTTCAGGCAATTCTCCTGCCTCAGCCTCCTGAGTAGCTGGGATTACAGGCACGCACCACCATGCCCAGCTAATTTTTTGTAGTTTTAGTGGAGACGGGGTTTCACCATGTTGGCCAGGATGGTCTCGATCTCTTGACCTCGTGATCCACCCGCCTCGGCCTCCCAAAGTGCTGGGATTACAGGCTTGAGCCACCGCGCCCGGCCGGCAGATATTCTTAAGAAAACTTTATGTCTGCTAGGCACGGTGGCTCATGCCTTTAATCCCAGCACTTTGGGAGACTGAGGCAGGTGAATCACATCAGGAGTTCCAGACCAGCCTGGCCAACATGGTGAAACCTCGTTGCTACTGAAAAATACAAAAAATTAGCTGGGTGTGGTGGCAGGCATCTGTAATCACAGCTACTTGGGAGGTTGAGGCAGGACAATTGCTTGAACCCAGGAGGTGGAGGCTGCAGTTAGCCGAGATCACGCCACTAACACTCCAGCCCAGGCCAAAGTGTGAGACTCTGCCTCAAAAAAAAAAAAAAAAAAAAAAAAAAAAAAAAATTTTATTTATTAAAAAAAAAAAAAAGAAAAAAAAAAAAAAGAAAAAAAAACCAAAAAAAAAAAAAAAAAAAAAAAAAAAAAGGAAATCTTCATGTCATTAAAACAGAGTAATTAGATCATAAATATCTACTGAAGTGTTTGATTTCAGAATTTTATATGAATTTTTCAAGTAAACAAGTCATCAAATTGGCAAGTAATCTTAAAGAAGTTCTAATCTTTTGGAGGCAGTGTGAGAAAGGAAGGGAAGGAGAAGAGAGAATGCATCCATGAGCAGGCTCTGAAGTCAGAACAACCTGAGTGTGAATCTCAGTTCTCCCACTTATCACAAGCAAGATTTTGGACAAGTTGCCTAACTTCTTTGTGCCTTCACTTCCTCAAATGAAAATGAGGATAATGCCATCTATATCTCATTGGTCTGTTATACAGAGTAAGTACAATAATTTTTGTAAAACACTCAGATAACACATCAGTGTTCTCAGGATATAAAATATTTATCATTTTTAATGTACCAGTTATTATTTGTTGAACCAGAAAAAAAAAAAATCTTGGCAAAAGGATTCTGGTTTAGTTTTTCCAAAATGTTCCAGACAGGACATATCCTAATTTTTAATGTTAATATTTTAGCTATAGCCTATATTTTTTCTTTTTTTTTTTTTCTTTTTGAGACGGAGTCTTGCTCTGTTGCCTAGGCTGGAGTGCAGTGGCGCGATCTCTGCTCTCAGCTCACTATAACCTCCTAGGTTCAACCAATTCTCCTGCCTCATCCTCCTGAGTAGCTGGGATTACAGGTGCAAACTACCATGCCCAGTTAATTTTTGTATTTTAGTACAGATGAGGTTACGCCATGTTGGCCAGGCTCGTCTCCAGCTCCTGACCTCAAGTGATCTGCACCTGCCTCAGCCTCCCAAAGTGCTGGGATTACAGGCGTTGAGCCACTGCGCACGGCCTTTTCATTTTTATTTTTTCTTAAACAGATGAGGGTCTTGGTCTGTCAGCCAGGCTGGAGTGCAGTGGCGTAATCATAGTTCATTGCAATCTCAAACTCTAGGGTTCAAGTGATCTTCCAGCAACAGCCTCTGGAGTAGGTGGGACTACTGGCACGTGACATTACACCTGGCTAATTTATTTTTTGTCTCTCATTAAGTTGCCCAGGCTGGTTTTGAACTCCTGGGCTCATGTGATTCACCAGTTGGCTTCCTAAAGAGCTGGGTTTACAGGTGTGAGCCACAATGCCTGGCCAGCTATCACCAATTTTTACAGACATAAGAAAAAATGTAGATTCCATTGATTAGAAGGGTAAGAAAAATAAGAGGGAAAAAAAAAAAAAAAAAAAAAAAAAAAAAAAAAAAAAAAAAAAAAAAAAGGGGAAAAAAAAAAAAAAAAGAAAAACAAAACCAAACCCCCCACAATCCAAAATAAAAACTTGTAATAAAAATTTGATTAACAAAATGATGAAATATGGAAGATATAACTAAAGTTAACAGTTATATATACAGCACTATGTTTCAGGCACAGTTTTAAAACACTTCATATGGTCAGGCATGATGGCTCTTCCAGTGCTTGGGGAGGCCAAAGTGGGAGGACTGCTTCAGCTCAGGTGTTTGAGGCTGCAGTGAGCTATGACGGTGCCCCTGCACTCTAGATTGGTCAACAGAGTGAGAGTCTGTCTTGCCACCTCCTGTCCTCCTAAAAAACCAAAACCAAATTCTTTTCATGTATATTATTTAATCCCCACAACCCTATGAGACTGATACCATTAATGTTGTTTTACAGATGAGGGAATATAGGCCCCAGGGTTAAGTGATAACTAGGTCTCACAGCTAATAAGTGATGAGTCCTTTCTTTCTTCTTTTTGTTTTGGAGACAAGATCTTGCTATATTGCCCAGTCTAGACTGGAACACCTAGGGTAGGTGTTCAAGGGTAGCTGGGCCTAAAGGCACAAACCACTGAGCCTGGTCAGAATCCTTTAATTATAAGCCTATAGGTGGCACTGGATCATCAACATTTTTACTTTTTACATACTGATCATAAAACCTATTCTAAGTATACAAAAGATTACCAACTAAAACGTCTGCCGTAAGATACATTAGGAGGGGAGAAAGCATAGTTATTTCTCTCTGAATTGGAGAAACAGTGTGGAGTTTTCTTTTTCTTAATCACCTCAAAACATTTTAGCAGCAAACTAGGAGTATTAAGAAAAAAATAAAGATAACAACAAAAACAAAAAATGAGATCTACAAAAATCCTAACAGTTGATCTCATAGGTGACCAAAACTAGTAATTACAAGCCGAACATTTCACAGTATTTTTTCGGTTTAAATTTCAAAACAAGCATTTGGTGTATTTTGTTTAGCAGACCAAAATCTACTCCTAAAGAAGAACAATGTGGGTGGGAAAACGTGTGCATGTAAACGAAGCTATCAGTGTAGTAAGGCTCATGTCAAGCAGTTCTAAAAAACAGAGCTATACCGCTTTAAAAACCTGATTCGTTTTACCTCTACCACTTTGTAGGAAAATGAATTTAAAACCTTAGAAACTGAGTTATTACAAACTTAAATTCACATTCCAATTTCTAGTCATCTATAACTTGATCAAGGTCACAAACAACAAAACGGAGGCTGTAGTTGGGGGAAAAGATTAAGCAGGAAAAAAACAGAAAATGTGGTAAGAACATGAGGGTTAGCAAATCAAAATTTTAAAACAAAATGCAAGTGTCAAGTGTCCCCTCAGTCAATCAATAACTTAATAACACTGATTTTACAAATATAAAAAATACAGGTGTCAGGAATGAATATATATTCTTGCTGATTGAAAACTCACAGCTATCAATATATTGTGTGTAAGAGCTAGAAGGGACATGGGAAATAGACATGGGAAACATGTTTCAACAGAATTTGGCAATAAAATAATTGGACAATTGCATATAGATGAGATGTCATACACCCTTAGATGATGAGATTAAGGCAACTTTCATGAAATCTATTTTGAAACCAATGTCACAGGCTGTTGCCTTCAAATCTACTTAAACATATCTTAATCCCTTTGCTAAAAAATTCCCTTGTCATATATGAAATTCACCACTGAGTTTTCTAAATCATTAAGGAGGTAACTTCAAATTAGACCATTGGTTTGAGCATTTTACTCTAAGTGGGCTTCTTATAGAACTGATTCTCAATTCTTCATTTCAAAAGAAAATACAGACTTAAAAACAATCACAGGTACTACAATCACCTACGTAGACACTAACATGAATCAAATGACTCATTTTCATCAAATTATATTAAATATTCATGCCAAAATGGCAGTGCATAAAACAGGACGCCCAGCATATACCCTTTAAAGACAGCATCATGTGAACCAAAAAAATGCACAGTGGTTGATGACACAGGTAAAGTTCCATAATACCAACATACAAAGATGATTTCACTACATTCACTATCATAAACTGGTCTCACAGAGACTGAGAAAACTTGGTTGTGATGTTTGCTTTTGAAAATGTTAAGATAATTCCAAATTTTAAATTTTGAAATAGCCTAACTTTCATGAAAGCAACATTATTGGGCCTCTGATGAAAAAAGTAATTTTTCTCCTCACAAGGGTTTAGAAACTTTTCTGGGCCCTGATTATCCAAAGTGCAGGAATTCTTCAAATTCAAAAAAGCAGTTCAAACTTGCAATAAATAAATTTTCTAGTAATTACCTAAACTATAAAAAATGTTATTAGGTGATCTGACCAAGACCTAGAAACTTTTAAAACAATGATTTAGCTGTAGTCATAGTGGGGTACTTTATGATACCTCATGCCTTTTCTTCATTGGGTGTAGTATGTATACCTTTTGTCCTGTAGCTGAGAGAGGGCAATTTAAAGCAATGACTTAATTACAAATGGGTTTGTTGTTGTTACAGCTGCCAGAATCGGCCAGTGGCATCATTAAAGATTTCACTGAAGTTAGGTAAGAAAATGTTGTAATTAAAATGCTCTGAAAAATCACATTTTAAGCTTAAACATTTTTACTAATCATAAATGGCTCAATTTTGTGCCTGGTTTTCTTTTCTTCATACCACAAGATAGAGTCTGGCAAGTGCTCAAGGTGTGAATTGATGAAATTAATACAGACATAACTATAAAAGAATACTAGAAAATCTAAAATGATTATGTATTATAAAATAGGAATGCTCAAAATGTGGATTGCATGTGCTCACTTACCGAATTACAAAGTGAAAGCATATTTACTTTGGCTCCAGAATTTTCATTCATTTGAAACAAGGTCTCACCTGTTGCTCAGGCTAGATAGAGTACAGTGGTATGATCATAGCACACTGTAACTTTGAACTCCTGGTCTCAAGCAATCCTCCAGCCTCAGCCTCCTGAGTCCCTAGGACTACAGGATAATTTTTAATTTTTTTTTTTTTTTTTTGGCAGAGACAGGGGTCTTGCTATGTTACCCAGGCTGGTCTTAAACTCCTGGCCTCAAGTAATCTTCTTACCTTGGCCTCCTAAAGCACTGGGATTACAAGTGTGAGCCAGACTGTAACCGGCCAAAATTTTCATTCATTCATTTATTTATTTTTTGAGACAGGATCTCACTCTGTCACCCAGTCTGGAGTGTAGTAGCATGATCTTAGCTCACTGAAGCCTTGATCTCCACAGCTTAAGAGATCCTCCCACTTTAGCCTCCCAAGTAGTTGGGACTACAGGCATGAACCACCATGCCCGGCTCATTATTTATTTATTTTTTTGTGGAACCAGGTTAAGTTGTCCAGGCCAGCCCTGAACTCCTACGCTCAACTGATCCTCCTACCCTGGCCTCTCAAAGTGGTGGGATTACAGGCAGAATCCACCATGTCAGCCCAGAATTTTCACATATTTCTAAAATCCAAATGTTTACTCTTCAATTATAACAACAACAAAAAACCCAAAAAGCAACTATTCCTATGTGCAACACACTAATAGTTTTTTTCCCTAACATTGTGTAAAATTTGAAAAGACCTGTAGAGTGAACATCCATATACATACCATCTAAATTCTACCAGTAGTATTTTACTTGGTCTTTTATTGTAGATTCATCTATCTTTCCATCCACCCAGTTATTTGATGCTTTTTAAAATTAGACACAGACATCATACATGTCACCTCTAAACACATCATTAACTAGGTTTAACATCTGTTTAGATTTTTCCTTCAGAGAGAAATTTATACGCTATGAAAGCATTAAAATATACTACCTTATGAGTTTTGACAAATCTATATAATATAAACCACTGTCAAAATACCAAACAGTACCATCATCACATAAAGTTCTTTCATGCCCCTTTTCCAGTTGATCCCTCCTCCCAATGGCGATAATTGTTGTGATTTTTTTCAATTATAGATTCTGGAATAGATTTTGGAACCCCATATAAATGGAATTACATTAGTTCTAGAACCTTACATAAATGGAAAGCACGTACATACTCTTGTGTAAGCCTTTCACTCAGCATAATATTTTAAAGATTTATCCATGATCTTGAGTCTATCAGTAGTTCCTTTTTTATTGCTGAATAGTATGCACCATTGATATTGTTTTAACAGTGAAATACTAAATACTTAAAGCCACGTTTCTGATTTCGTTTCTTACCTTCATATTGACATCAGCCCCATTGCCAACTAGAAGTTCTAAACACAATGCTCCATGTGTTGATGCAGCAGCAAAGTGCAAAGGAGTAAATCCTTTTTCATTCTTTTGATTTACAATAGCACCACAGTCTATAAGTTCATTCACTACAACATCTTGTCCATTATAGCAGGCTACATGAAGAGGTGTATTTCCATAGGCATTTGGTTCATTCATCTGTTAGAGGGGGAAAAACGTGAATGTTAAAATAATTTTGCTAATTATCAATATTATGAGCAATTTTAGCAACCTGTGGTTGCAACAAATTACTAAAGTGAGAAACGAAGACAGGATAAATATGGAGAAGAGCTTTTTTTTTTTTTTTTTAATGAGATGGAGTCTTGCTCTGTCGACAGGCTGGAGTGTAGTGGCATGATCTCGGCTCGCTGCAACCTCCGTCTCCTGGGTTCAAGCGATTCTCCTGCCTCAGCCTCCTGAGTAGCTGGGACTACAGGCGCATGACACCACATCCAGCTAATTTTTGTATTTTTAGTAAAATGGGGCTTCATCATGTTGGCCAGAGGATCTCGATCTCTCGACCTCGTGATCCACCCGCCTCAGCCTCCCAAACTGCTGGGATTACAGGCATGAGCCACTGCGCCTGGCCGAGGCTTACAATTCTAAAGTTTGTTTAGAATAATAAACCTTGACAGGCATTTCGGTATTACAGTGGTATTACATTCAGGGAATATAATTCATATGTACAATGTCTACTTCATGAAAAAACTGAGTAACACCAAAAGAGATATTTTAGGAAAATATAAACTAATGTATTTTTCGAGGTTCCAGGTAAGGGATTTATAATTATTTATTATCATAAAAAATAAACACAAACTGAAGATTCTGAGGTATATTCAGTAAAATGTGTATTTCCAACTTTTTCATTTTGCAGTGACAAAGGCTAAACTTAGCAATAAAGTGCAGATCAGGATTTTTTAAAAGAATGAATGGCACGTTCTTCTATTTAATTCATTTTTGCCATAAACTTGGGCTCTAAATATTTTCGGTATCACATGCAAGTATTTTATCACAAGTCAAAAGAATATGTTGAAAAATGAGAAACAATTCATGTATTAAGGGTTTTGCTTTTCTTTCTTTTTGTTTTTGAGACAAGGTCTCACTCTGTTGCCCAGACTGGAGTGCAGTGGCACAATCTTGGCTCACTGAAACCTCTGCCTCACTGGCTCAAGCGATTATCCTGCCTCAGCCACCCAAGTGGCTGGGATTACAGGCAACACCACTACTGCCTGGCTAACTTTTGTATTTTTAGTAGGGACAAGGTGTCACCATGTTGGCAAGGCTGGTCTTCGACTCCTGAGCTCAAATGATCCACCTGCCTTGGCCTCCCAAAGTGCTGGGATTACAGGCATAAGCCACCGTGCCCAGCCTTGTTTTTCTATTTCTAACAAATAAGGTAATAGTTTACATGATTTCTGTGTAGTAAAGAATCTCACCTTTCCCAAAGAGAGGTCTGTCCTTTGTCCTTGGCTTCAGGGAGGTAATCTATTATACATACCTGAGTAAAGAGTCTTTATTTAGAGTGGGGGGCTTTAAGTTACAAGGTATCATGTATTTGGAGGCTGAAATCAACCACACAGACAACCAATCAAGTCGATGTAATGGAGCCCCAATAAAAACTGAATATGAAGCTCAGGTGAGCATTCCTTGATGGAAATACTTCATTCATACTGTCACACACTGATCCCAGGGAAGGAGAGTACTGTGTTCTGACTCCATGAGGAGGGGTAAGGGAAACTTTGCCTTTAGAATACTCCTGCACTCTACCCTATGTGTCTCTTCCTTTGGCTGCTCTCAATTTATATCTTGTCCCTGTAATAAACCACAACTGTGAGTATAAAGCTTTTAAATAATTTTGTGAGACTTTCTGGTGAATTATCAAACCTCAAAATGGTTTTGAAAGTCCTCTAAATTTATAGTTGGTCATAAGTAAGGGTAGCCTTGTACGGAGACTATGGCCCCTAATCTTGTAGTTGGTCCCAACGTAATGCAGCTTTAACATTCCTTTTCTGGGATCACTGGTAATAGAAATCAGAGGAAGTAAAAAAGTTAACACTTAACTTTAATCAAAGTACCTAGATTTTGTCACAAGAAGCTAGAACAGAGATAAGAAACAGATTCTCCCTCAGAACCTCCTAAGGAAACAACCTTGCTGACATCTTGATTTAGAATTTCCATACGCTAAGACTTCCAGGAGTTAAATTTCTATTAGCCCTCCAGTTTGTAGCAATCTCTTAGGAAACTAAAAAAAAAAAAAAAGCAACTACACAACTGGGGGGGCCACATGTTACTAAAAGGTTTTAAGTCTGGCCACTTATTTTGATGAAAAAAGTCACCAGTTTACAAATGTAATTGACTGTCAATAAAGTAAGTTTTAAAAATTGCACCAGAATGGACTTGAGACAGTAATCAGAAACAAAGTTGCCTCATTTATCTAGATCAAGGGTCTTTTAAGATATTATTTCACCCTGCTGAAACACAGCTACAGGAGCTGAGTTCAGATTTTTGCAACTTCTTCTCGTGATCCTCACAATTTCAGTATTTATTAGCTTGTTTCAGGCACAGTGTTTCACATGGTCCATAAATTAGCCTATCTACTAGCCCTACAGTTCTGTCATGTATTCTTTGTCCAACCAGGCTATCACCTACTTTTCTTAGTTTTTTGTAGCTGATCTAAACTGCATCTCTCTAGCAAATCTTTATTCTACATCTTCTAATGTGCCATTTTAAAGAACCAATGAGTTCTTCAGAATTTGTGTTTCAAAGAATCAGTGACTTTGTCAGAACTCTACCTGAAATACGAATAAATACACTAAGAGTATGGGAGTATGGTGGCTCATTCCTGTAATTCCAGCACTTTGGGAGACCAAGACAGGAGGGTCACTTTAGGTCAAGAGTTAGGGACCAGTTTGGGTAACAGCGAGATCCCATCTTTACAAAATTAAAAAAATTAGCCTGTAATTCTAGCTATTCAGGAGGCTTAGGTGGGATGATCACTTGAGCCCAGGAGTTCAAGGTTACAGTGAGCTGTGATTGTGCCACCACACTACAACCTAAGAGAAAGAGACCCTGTTTAAAAAGAAAAAAAAGCCAAGAGTGGGAGTAAAGTACTGTGTTTGTTTAAAGGATGGCTTGTGAAAAGCTACAGGTATTCTAAGTTATCTCAATTCAGGAATCGAATATAGCCAAATAAAGCCTCATCCCTTTTTAACCAGAGAATTGCACAGTAAGGAATATGTAAACTTGGTGGGCAAAAAGCTTTTTGTTTACCTGTCTAGCTCTTACCAATATTCTGTAATGCAAACTGCTACAGTCATTTTAAGAGTATCAGACTAGGCAAAGAAGACTAACAATAGCCCAGCTATCTAATAATACCAATGTGTCTGATCTGCTGGTTGTAACTAGTGAAATGGAATTACAGGCCTGGAATGTAATACAGAAGAAAAACTGGCAATAAATCACACAGCTTTGAAGTGTATTTTACCTCTTAACATGCTTTGACTATTTACATGCCTTGATCATAAATCAGTGCATTAGATATTACATAAAGGACTATAAATATCCAATAAAAATATGAAACACTGTATAAAATCATTTCTTAAACTTGAAATAACTTCTGTCAATAATGTAACAAGTATAAAAGGGCTCCATAATTTTATACTGTTCAATCTATATACCTACATCAACTCCAAGATCTAGAAGGTACTTGACTACGCTGATCATTCCACTAGAGGCTGCTGCATGAAGAGGTGTATAAGACTTCTTATCCTTGCATGTCACTTCAGCTCCATGCGACACAAGTAATTTCACTACTTCAATGTGACCTAAAAATGTATTTTTGAAGAAAAAAAGAGATGAGCATATGAAAACTATTAAATATAATCCCAAATATCTTTAAGGAAATTAAAAAATACAGAATAACCAGATGATGCATGACAAGTCACCAATGAATCATGCTATCACTTGAGAGAGGACAGAGGAAAATTTTAAGACTTCAGGGCTGCACATAATGGCACATGCCTATAATCTCAGCACTTTGGGAGGCCAAAGTGGGAGGATCACTTGAGTCCAGGA